AATAATAATAATAATAATAATAATAATAATAATAATAATAATAATAATAATAATAATAATAATAATAATAATAATAATAATAATAATAATAATAACGTATTCCACAAGCGAGCCGTCCACCCAAGCGAGCCGTCCACTTCATCACGAAAACACGACGCGTCAACTTCCAACCACTATGCGTCGACAACACAACGTGCAATCAATACAAAATGAAGGTCGAATATGCATGGCTATCGCAGCAATCAATCGGCAGCAATTTACAAGCGAACGGCGCGCTATTACAACATATGACGTCCCCAGAAGCACACTTCGAGATCGACGCGCTGGAACAACCCCACGACGCGATTCTGAGCCTAATTCGAAGAAGCTTTCAAAGCTAGAGGAATCAGTTATCACTCAACATATACTCGACCTGGATTTGCGAGGATTTCCGCCTAGCTTGTATGCTGTACGAGAGATGGCCAATAAATTGCTTGCTAAGCGCGCCGCCGGCCAAGTTGGTAAGAACTGGCCAGAGAACTTTGTTAAGCAAACACCTAAGCTTAAAACATAATTTAATTAAAAGTATAACTATTAAAAAGCTCTATATAAGGATCTAAAAGCTATTAGTAATTAGTTTAAGCTTATACGCAATATAAAAGCAAAGTATAGCATTCTAAATAAAAATATATATAACTTTAATAAAGCCAGCTTTTAAATAGGTGTTATTTTAACAGGTGTAGTTATAACAGGCTTTAAGCGCTATAATTATCTAAAATCTATATAGCTAGGCAATCGCGAATAGATAATAATAATCTAAGGTATTAATACCTATAAATAGGCTATTCTACTATTTATTATCTTTATAGGTATATACCACTTTTTTATATAGTATAAAGGTAATAATATACTACTAAATTAGGTTATAGTAGTAAGTAATAATAGCTAGATAATAAATAAGCTTAGTATTACCTAGCTATACTATTTTAATACGTATATAAAAGATTATATAATAGGTATACACCGGCTACTAATTATTAATAGCTATAAAAGCTATATCTTACTTAAATTCTAATAGATTTATAAGGAGAATAATATTATTACTTTCTATATACTAGCGTATTTATTGCACCTGCTATAGCCGCTTAATATTAGCTGCTTTGCGCTAATAAAAAAGGCGTATAGGCGCTAAATTAAGAACTTAGTATACTACTATATTAACTATATTACTAAGCTAAAGTTCCTACTAGTATTTAAAGTAGTTTTCTATAGTTTAATTATAAAAAGCAATATTTATATAGGCTTTTAAGGTATAGGCCTTATACTACTTAATTTAGAAGTAGTACTATTAAAGCTTAATATTAGGCTCTATATACTATTACTTCTGCCTGCCGCTGTAGAAGCTTTATAGGAATTAAAAATACTAAGTAATACTTTTAAGCTAGGCTCTTAATTAGCTTTAATTTATAAGCGCATTTAAATATATTAAAATAGCTTACCTATAGCTATTTTTAACTCGCTTAATAGCCTTTCTAGAGGTGCTAAAAGTATAATATATTAAGCTGCGCTGCTGCGTAATACTATTACTAGCCTTTAAAAGGTAAATAAAGCCGCTATAAAGCGCAAGGCGCGTAAAAAAAAGCGTATTTAAAGGAAAGGAACTCTAATAATAAAAGCAGGCTCTTAAATAGCTGCTTAACGGCTTAAAAAGGACGCTTAAAGTAAAAAGTAGTAAGGTAGAGCAGGCTTTAATAGAATCGTGCGGCGCTGTAGGCGCTGCGGCGAGTTAGGGTATAATATTCGTATATATAAAAACGATGCAGAGGTTGCTGCAGATTAGGCTATAAGTTATATATAGTTAATATCTATTAGCGTTATAGAGCAATTAACGTTTAAGGCAGGTTTTTATAATAAAGTAAACGGCTTGCTTAGGTGGACGGCTTGCTTATAGAATACGTTATAAGAATAATATATTATATTTATATTAATATATACTATATTAAGATTTTAAAGCTATTTATTTAGTAGTTATAAAGCTTTAGTACTTAGTTTTACTTAGTTTTAGCCCCTACTTTCTAATATTTTAGTAATTACTAAATAAATAGCTTTAAATCCTAATATATTATAGATTATATATTAAATAGCTTATATTTAGGGCACGAGTACCTGTACACCCCCCTATAATATCCACACACCCCCTTTTTGGTACCTGCACACCCCCCCAACCCGTCTAATCGTCTGATTGGCTCGGAGGGTTGCTCCGGAGCCTCCGATTCGCTCGCTTAACCCGCTCACCAATACCAAATGCTCTCTCCAAATGCGGCGTGGCCACAAACAATCACATCCTCATCCTCATCCTCTACAATACACTCCCTCCACCTCTCACCATGGCCCTCCAGCCGCCACGGCTAGACTACTACGCTACGGCAGAGGAAGCACATACTGCTATACAAGCGCACGCCTCAGCGCAGGGCTACGGCCTGGTGAAGTACCGTAGCAAACCCGACAAGTACAAGCGGACCCGAAAGATATGGTATCAGTGTACTTTCGCAGGCTACTATGAACCTCAGAATCGTGTACGTGATACAGCAACCAAGAAGAACGGTTGTACTATGCACGGAACTCTCACCCGACAGCCAGAGGGCACCTAGATATGGCAGACGGTGGAGGCATCTCATTGCGGCCACGAACCTGTGCTCAAAGCGTCAGCTATCGTAGTCCTACGCCGCCTTGAGCGCACGGAGGAGGTGAAGAAGATCATTCGCGATGACCTCTCCAGCGGCGGTGCACTGCAGGCTACGTATACAAAGCTACTAAAATGGAGAGGCTGCGCAGCCTACGTATAGCTATACGTATAGCCTACGTACGGCTGTATATAGTATGCAGGAAACGGAAAGAATGCATGATAAAATGGAGAGGCTGCAGCAGCCTCACGTACGGCCTCACGTACGGCACGGATGCACGTAAGAATAGAGCTCCGGACGAAGCTCCGAGCCGTTCTAGCCAATCAGAAGATCAGACGGGAGGGGGGGGGGGGGTGTGCATGTACTAAAAAGGGGGTGTGCGGATACTATAGGGGGGTGTACAGGTACTCGTGCCCTATATTTAAATTTTTATAAATTCTTGTTATCTAGCAGTTGTTGAGATATTTTGCTATGAAATATTTATTTTTTGGTGTATATTGATTGGGCTGGACCGCTCGCTTGTGGAGTACGTTATAAAATTGTGTTCAAGTCTCTTCTAACTATCTAAAAGCCAATTTTAGATTGTTTCCGGCTCGCTTTTGCAACCAACATGACGAACGCCTGAACAACTCTAGATTAATGGCTTATAGCGTAGAATTCTCACTATCAGCGTACTATGCCTAGTTATACAGGGGTAAATCTTGCATTTAAGGTGGGTCTGCAACCTTATCTAGTAATACAACTCTCCTAGTCGAATACCAACAGCCCTACGATGTGCCTCTAGTTCTTCAACCTTCGCCAGCTGCATTACTGCACCTCCGACGTTGCGCAGTCCCTCTAGTGTTAACTGGGAACTAGTGATATGCTTGATATATGAGCCAAGATTTACTCCTGAGTATTGTTTGGCATAGCCATAGGTCGCTGCAGCTTCAGATTAGCATAGGCACAAAATTGATGGTGCCAGTGCATTGAACTTGGACGTCTCACTTACGTAGCGAATGGTTGACGCCTGCAGAGTAATCGCCCACGCTCTCTGGTGTCCACTCTCCAATGAACACACTACCAGCGTTCTCAACCAAGGCAACAACACCCTCAGCGTTCTGCACCTGTAAGATCAGATGCTCGGGGGCATAGAGGTTGCTAAGCCTCATCGCTTCGACGATATCTTTTGCGACGAGTGTCACTGAGTGTTCGATCGCTCCTCTGACAATATCCACTCGCGGGAGAGCATTGGCCTGTGCGTGCAATTCGTCTTCAATTGCTGTAAGTTGAGATTGGGTAAGGTCTACCGCAATCAGTATGACCTGAGAATCAACGCCGTGCTCTGCTTGACTGAGAAGATCCGACGCAACAAAAGCAGGATTCGCTGAAGCGTCCGCAATGACCAGTACCTCACTGGGACCAGCAGGCATGTCTATACTCACCCCGGCGCTAGTATCGTTCGATACAAACATCTTTGCGGCGGTGACGAACTGGTTGCCTGGCCCCAATATTTTGTCAACTTTAGACACACTCTCCGTTCCATAAGCGAGTGCCGCAACCGCTTGAGCACCTCCAGCTAATAGAATGCTTTCAGCTCCAACCTTGTGGGCAATGTAAACAATCTCAGGTGTGATAGATCCATCGGGTCTCGGTGGCGATGCAATCACAATTTTCTTACAGCCTGCCACCATGGCAGGCACTCCCAACATCATCGCTGATGATGGCAGAACTGCAGTGCCACCGGGCACGTAGAGTCCCACTCGCTCAATTGCACGGGCAAACCGAGAGCAGACGACCCCAGGCATAGTTTCAACAGAAAGTGGTCTGTCTTCCTTTTGGGCGGCGTGAAACTTTCGGATATTCTCGAACGAAATGTCGATAGCTTGTATTGTCTCAGGGGGCAGCTGCATCAGCGACGGATGAAACGGAGCGGATAGCACTGGTGAGCTGAGCGAAGTTGCCTTGTCGAACTTTTTGGTGTACTCCAGTAACGCAGCATCCCCTCGAGACTTGACTGCGTCGATGATTGGGCGAACGATTCCCATGACCTGCTCGCCAGATCTTTGTGAAGGCCGCTGTAGTACAGCCTCGATTGTCTGAGGTGACTCCTCAGACGTGATATATCGCTTCATCTGGATTCTGCCTCCTTGAAGCCCGGCTGGATCCGCTTGACTCTTCGAAACAGAGGCTGCTTCCTTGATGACCTCCTCTGTCGTATTGCCGTTGCTTTGACCACCAGCTCCCACTGCCTGGGCTGTGTATTGTGGTTTGGCATCCCCTCTTCTTCTCTTTACCTTGACGCTCTTTGCGTCAAGATTTCTTTCAACATCTTCGAGGGTTACGCCAGCAGCTACGCACTTCGTCAAGGCAAAGTATATTAGGTCTGCGGCTTCGAAAGCTGTCTCAGATTTCGTGTTAGCCTCGCACAACTCATTTGCTTCCTCTATTATTTTGGCATTCAACAGTTTTGAATCATTGAACAGCCGAGCTGTGTACGAGCCTTCCGGTGTGGACTCCTTGCGCTCCTGGAGGGTCTGTTGTAGACGGGAAACACCGCGATACTGTCCAAAACATGTCGCAGTAGCCAAATGGCAAAACCCTGTAGGTGGTTATCTTTCTGTTTGACGACATGCAAGGTTTTAGGCCATACCTCTGCCCTTTTGCTTTACGATGAATCGCAAACAGTCGTGATCGCAATCCAGGCTGATGCTTACCAGCTCCTGAATGTCACCACTGCTTTCACCTTTGTACCACAGGCCTCGCTTCCGACTTTGGTATACACCACGCCCAGTCCTTAGACTCTCCGAGACGCTTTCCTCATTGCTGTATACAAGGCCTAATGCCACACCTCGCTCATCTGCAACAATGGTTGTGAAGAGTCCATCGGGTCTGTCGCTCGTAGCATTTGCGAGCAACAGTTTGGCAACGCTGATCAGTTGTGGTTGAGACTTGGGGTCCACAGTGAGAAGATCTACGGGAAGGATCGGGATAGCAGAAAGGCAAGATACGCGCTGTGCGCTGTCAGTGCTGGGCTCGAGGAACGAGACGTAGACTTCAGGTCGGTCTGTGCCGTATTCCTTGAGCCATGCCTCAACCAGCTCGAGGTCGTACACCTGGTGGGAGTAGACATCCACCGCGGTCCCAGAAATGGCGTTTATGACTTCGTCTCTTGTGTTTCCTGGCATAGCAAGCACTAGCCTCTCCTGGGAAATATTGGCAGAAACAAGGTGATCCAATTGCGGGCGCGTCACGAAGACTTTCGCAGCGCCAGAGTCAAGGAGCGACACAATCTCGTCGATTGAGGCCAGCGACGTAACATCGAAGTACGTCGAGATGTAGCCAATCGTGCGCTGCAGGTAGAAAAAGGCATCATCAATGGCAGCTGGGTCGACTTTGGTGAAGACGTGGCCGACGAGACCGAGTGCGTTGAGGTCGGGGCCGCCGGAGGGATTGGCGTAGCTCGCAAGATCGATCGAGGTAAGAAATGCAGACGCCATGCTGTCGTGAGCCTGCTATGCAGGAATTGTCGTACGGAGGGTTAAATTCGAGGAGAGGACGCAGAGAAAGAAAAAACTGGTGATAGAGAGTTCGGTGGTGGGGCACGCCGCTTTCGGAGAGTCATCATTTAGAATATTTGGCGTCGCGTTTTCTTTCTCCGCGTCACGCTTCAACACCAGAATTTGAACAATGCAGAGCCAGCGTCGGCGCCTTGAGTATGCTCTCCAAAGCTTCCACTTCTATTCTCTCGTGTGTACGTCTGCGCCGAATCTCACATAGCGTTCGAGAATGTGGACCGAGATACCTCGAGCCCTCTAGCTTGCTGCCTCTTAGCTATCACCGTTTACGCCGACGCGTCGTATGGCCATGCATTCCTGCAATTGAGGCATACAAACGGCACTTCTCCAGTATTGCCATAGTACCAGTCATCACGCCTCCGGTGGTCTTTGTCGGCCTTGCTTTGACGTTGTGGTTCTACAAATGCTGCATGATGATCCTGTTTCAGAACAAAATCATCTATATGCCGTCCGCACCACCCTATTCCCGACGGGAAAAGATCGCAGACTATGCCCGCATGTGTGGTTCGGTCCATTGGGAGGAACAACGGATCACCTCGCTGGACGGGACTCGGATTTCCCTATGTATAGGCCGGCTGCGCGACGAAACTACTAGTGCTTCTCCTAGACAGAGCACCAGCCATGTCGTAGTACTCTACTTCCAAGGGTGGGTCAAATGCAGGAAATCAAACCAAAGAAGTCAGTCCGCTTACGGCACACAGGAATGCGTCTTCCATCCCGCCTCGATTGCCGACTCTCTCCAAAGTGCTAAGCTCTCTCAACTCAGGCAATGCGTACACGCTTGTCGCTGTGTCATATAGGGGCTTCTGGACTTCTCAGGGCAGAGCGTCCCAAAGAGGGATTGAGATGGATGCTGACGCGGCCATAGCCTGGGCGCAAACCCATTTCAAGAATCATCTCACAGGAAGTCGCCCGAAATTGGTCCTCTGGGGTCAGAGCATTGGGGCGTCAGTTGCAGCTGGAGCTGCTTCTCGTTTGCTTCATGCTAATGAGTCAAGGAACCTTCAGCTTAGCGGCATCATATTGGAGACACCCTTTGTTAGCATCAAACGTATGCTAACGAGTCTGTACCCTCAGAAGTGGCTGCCATACCGCTACCTCTCACCTTTCCTATGGAACTGGTGGGACAATGAAGAGGCACTGCGAACCATGGCTACCATTTCTGTTGGTGGATCTATTCCAATATTGCTGATTACGGCTGCTCGAGACGAGATTGTCCCTTCTGACCAGGCAGACGATCTCCAACGTCTGTGTCAGCAACTAAATTTCAAACTTACACGGCATGATATTCAGGGTGCTCTTCACACTGAAGCAACCTTGAAATCCGAAGGCAAGGAAGCAGTTGTCAAGTTTCTCAAGACCCAAATATCATCTGATCATGCAGACGATCGATGAAGATTAACTAGTACTTGCACTACATCGCCATTACAGTATTAGGTCATATGTTTGAGCACACGGATATACCACTGCTCCGGCTTCACTCTTGTTCTCTAAAACACCACTGTGAGGAGTGCCCCAGCCAGCATGTCTTTAATCAGTCATAGGGTAGTCTAATTTCAACTGTGTTGACCTCTACATCGTATTTGGAGGTTCAAACACCTATCGGGGCACCCCAGCCAGTGCCCAAACTTATTTCTTAGTACTGTATCTGTGCAACTTGTCTACCACTGCTTGAACGTCTCAACACATATTTTGAAACTTGATCAAGATAGAAGTCCATCCTGCCGAGCAACATGTTAGGTCGCGAGGGCACCTACCGATGGCGGGAGAAAGGAGCACGCGTTGTTGCTCTCGAGCTGCTTCAGAATCGTCTCGCTTCTAGACCATGGCTTTGTTCCTGTTCTCCCTGGCTTCTTTGTTTCCGAACATGCTTTGGGGTAACCTACCCTACTCAAACGAGACATTGTCGGTACACAATGCGTCGATTATGGAACATATAAGTATTGAACTTAACTCTACTACGGAATGAAACCCTTCACTCGTCGTCTTCGTCACCGTCATCATACTCCCCGTTCAATCTCCACAGTCCATCAAGCCTTGCGTCATGAAAACACAGGACGATCGTTCTACACTAATTCTATTCAATGCCTGACAAAGAGTTTCAAGTTGCTTCCGTTCCCCGTATTGGAACAAGAATAAGCGATATATTTCTTTGTTCTATTGTCTATCTATTTATGTTTTTGTCTATGTACGTAAATAGAAAGATTCTATATATTTCCTTTGTTCTTTTGTTCTAACAAAGAACTCCTTGTTCTATTAAAAGCTCTTTATTATACAAAGAGGCTTTATCCTAATAAAGAGACGTTAACTCTTTATTATAACAAAGACTACGTTCTAGTAAAGAACGCACAAGGTATATAAACGTCCGCTGCCCCTATATATGCTTATATAATCAATTCACTTGAATTTATCAACCTTCACGTGCCTCGTATACCTTCACACCCCGGTCGTTTGGGAATCCTCAGTCATTAGACTCGCCATTACCAGAGATAGGTCGAACGCGTACAGACTCTACGTCTAGTGGCATGAGCGGCAGCGACTCTAGTATCAACATGTCTGATACGACGGATGTGTCGGCCGTTTGTTCTTCTACTACACGCACTTGGCCTTCATCAACAAGCTCTGAGAACTGCTGGCCAGTTTTTGATCTGTCCGCCTCTGATGTCGATTTCCTTAGCCTCGAGTTTGCAAAGAGTAAAGAGATAAAGGATGCAATTCGGCGCTGGAAAAAACAGTCAAGCCTTTCAAACTCGTCGAAGCCCAGCAATCAGTCCGACTTCCTTGTGTTAGATGAGATTTTCAGCTCTCTATGTATTGCGGAAACCTCTGTCATGGGCAACCCTATCAAAGTCTATTCGGAAGCCTTCCGTCTGGGTCCACGGGGATTGCGAGTGGGAGATTGTATGTTTCTCAACCGTCCGTCCCTTGGAGGCGAAGAATTCAGTTTGGAGACCATGTTGCGCGACCATGTCCGACCTGGCTTCGTCTTGGAGTGGTGTACTGAGCTCTTGCAAGCAAATAAATCGGGTTCTGCTTTGTTGCTATGCTCTCAGCTTGACATCACTGAAAGCTTTCAGAGTCTCGCTGTCCAAAAAGCCACCCGGAGAACAGGAGCTCCAATAGTTGGAGGTTCTGAGAGAGTTGCTCCATCATTTGCGGAGTTCGACTGGCTCAATTTTGTCAACGAAAGATATGGCACGGATTCAAACAACATCCCCGAAGCTCCCGCAAGAACAGACATAGTGACTGGAGCGGGAAGTCTTGATATAGACGTGGCTATTTTTTCCAACAAGGTCAAAGAAGTCTACTCATGCTACCGGGATTGTTTCGTCCTAGTTGAAGACCCGCTAGCACCACCAGAGATTGCTTGGCCGGCCCTCGATCGAATCGGCATCCGCGCCGTAGCATATTTCTCGCCGAAATCTCTTCAATCGTCACAAGAATCTCTGAGCTTTACTCTCTCAGACCTAGCGAATGAGATAGCGGAAGACATCAAGCTAGGGATAGCAGGACAGAAGGACTTCCAAGTCTCCTTGTTTTGGAGTGAACGGAAGGTACCAAAGCGACTCTACTTTGTTCACATGAGTGATGGAAGGACAGCTACGCGGGCACAGAGAGCATGGGCTTGCTTCCCAGCTGACATTCAAACTTCCCCAAGGAGGTGATGTTCCTGGATCTATGCGGATGGACGTAGCTTTCAACTCGAGGTGGCGATTTGAACGGACTGCTTTGCCCGCTGGGCATGTTCCTAAGCTTCCAAGTATTCTAGGGCAAATTTCTTTTTTAGACGGGATGTAGAGAGTTGGACACTGTAAGTCAAAATAGCATGTGGAAGCTAAATAGCAAATGTGAAAAGTGTACATTAAAAAGTTCTAAATGGATTTAAGTGACGTTATACTAAGGGGGCCACTAACTACATACCCTCTTTTAACTCCACGCACACCCCCTTCCTCTTGGCGCTTCACCACCTTCTGATTGGCCTAGAGCACTGCTCCGTAGCCTCCGATTCGCTCGCTTAACTCGCTTACTAATTCCGAATGCTTTCTCTAAATGCGGCTATGTACAACACAAACAATCATATTATACCAATTTATATAGCCTTATATACGAGCTCACGTACAAGCTTACGTACGAGCTCACGTATAGCCTCACATACAAGCTCACGTATAGCCTCACGTACAAGCTCACGTACGGCCTCGTGTATAGCATCACGCACGGCCTCGTATATAGTGTAAGGATTATAATAGCATAAGCGTTATATCCCTATGCATAAAGCTCTCAAAAAAACTAAAACTATGCACGTTTGAACGTGATACAGTAAACGTTTTGAACAGGAAAAGTGAGATAACGTTACAGAAGCGTTAGAGGACGTTTCACAATGCTATACGTATGTATATATATGCAACTCCGCTGCCGTCGATGTAAAGAAGAACTCAAGCAATATAATTCTATCTATCTATCTATACAACTCTGTCCTATCTCTCTCTGCATCGACTCTATACCTTTGACATATAGCATTACGTGTAGAGAGACGTAAGGGTGAATTCCCGGAGGAAGCTCCGGCCTCTCCAAGCCAATCAGAAGGTGGTGAAACGCCAAGAGAAGGGAGGTGTGCGTGGAGTTAAAAGGGGGGGTGTAGTTAGTGGCCCCTAAGATATATATATAGAATCTATCTATTTATATATATAGATAAATACATAAATAGATAGATAATAGAACAAAGAAATATATTGCTTATTCTTGTTCTAATATTCTACCTATCTACCTATCTATTTATCTATTTGTCTATTTGTCTATTTGTCTATTTATCTATTTATCTATTTATCTATTTATCTATTTATCTATTTATCTATTTATCTATTTATCTATTTATCTATTTATCTATTTATCTATTT